ACAGCAGAGTACTCTTGCTTGAGCTCGAACTTTTTTGAGTTTGAGACGTCGTGCTCGGTCTTCTCAAACTGATAAAATATTGGTCAATGGTCACATGTGCCTGCTCGTTGCTCACCGAAGCACCCTTGTAAATGCAGCAAAATGTTTTCAGGTTCAAATGCACTGTGTAGACGTTCCTGAAGCCCAGCCCCGGCTTATGAATGTTTCTGGGAATGTCTGAGGTTCCAACACCCGCGTCTTCTACGAAGATCGCCGACAGCATCACCTCCCCCAGGTTCAGCATTGGGGCATGCTCTTCTTCATGATACTAATGTGCAATTTGATGCCATTATCTGAATATATCTTGCCATGAGTATGTCCCGGTGCGTGCTGTACTTAGGAAATCATGCAGCTCAGATCCTCTGCCCTCTGGCCGTCATGCAAATCATAGAAAACATGGTAGCTTCGCCAAAAATAGGGGGTCCAGGGCCGGCGGTAGCCGGCAATCTAGTACGTGGGGCACCGTCCGCTAACAATGACCACAAGGGATGGTGGCAATGATAGTGGGATCCGTATTGCTTCTTTACCAGTGTTTCTGGGTCTGGCTCAACTCAACTTGTATCCTCGACTGGGGCAGGCATCACTTCACAAAGCAATGAAAGCCAAAGCTTGAAACTGAAACTGGCACCGGTCTTGCAGCAATACAACATGCGGATCACTAAGCCGGCTGCCCTTGACCTTCAAGTCTCTTTGCACTGAGCTTAACAGATCAACTTGAGCTTAACAAATACCTCCCTGATTGCTGCACGTCTCTGAGGTGTTCGGCATGCCTTCTCGGGCCAGCTGATCTGCTCCACACCCTTTCCTTGGATAACTGCACATTTCCAGAAGCCCCATTCCTGCCCAGGTAGTTTGTCTGCGGAACCTGCAGTCCTCTACGAGGCCAATATCGGGGCTCAGGCGAAGTCTGGACATGTCTGGACAACAGCCAAACTCGAGGACGTGCAGCTCTTGGCTGCTTGCTGATGTTCACTGAGAAACTACTGAATCCAGTCCCTTCCAATTGCTGAGCGCAGATGCAACCCTTATTCCTTACAGCATCATTCGTATCTGGGCATGCGCGTTGAAGCCACCGAACCTCAATCAGCCCCTGCATGTTTGTTCCGGATGTTCCGGCTCCATGCAGCCAAGCTTCCAATTGGGAGGCTTGGCGGCGACCCACTGATGCTGGGAGTTCTGCCTCATGGATGGCGGTAGACCGCATCACTTCTGACCGCAAGGTCCAGCACCAGAATCCAAGCTGAACTTTGGCAAGCGAATGCACAGCAGAGAAAATGCTGACTCCAAGTGGGTTTGGTGGAGGAGTCCACCAGAAGCGTTGCGTACAGTGGCATCATCTCCCGGACAGGAAAGCAAATGTCCAATGTCAACTTCAATCATTAGTTTTCTGCGATGGGAGAGCAGGCTCTGGGTGGAGCAGACAGGCCATGGCATATCCAGCTTCCCCACGGAAAGCAGCCAAGCAATGTTCTCAGTAACCTGTCGAGGACTTCGAGCACTTGGGCACCCGGGCTCCCGTAGCGTGGCCTACGACTCGGAGTGGCTTCCTGGCCGATCTTCTCCTGAGGAGCTGATCGTCTGATGCAGGTGAAGGTTTGGTGGGGCTTCTTAGGGCTTCTGAAAATCCATGTAAGGTAGATGTCACCCCGCAAATGTGTGTGAATGCGTGTACACGTGCAGATGGTTTTTAGAGCATGGCGGAGGCAAGCGCGGCAGGAATTGGCCCAACGCTGAAAACATCAGCGCTCTGCACTCAACAGGCAGCAATAATCCTGACTTCCTGAGGAATCAACTCTAGCAGGATGGCTAGTGAAGCCGGAGAGGAGACCCTCCAAATTCGATTTGCACGGGAATGCGAGTGAAGGGCCTCCCTCGCGTCATGTCTGGAGTTTAAGAAACACTGCACAGCCTCCAATGCGACTGTCGGCAGCCGAGGAAGATCAGACAAGGGAACCCAGTCCTGCTCGAGTGCGATGATGCCGTGCTATGAGGCTTGGGGTGAACTCGATGAGGTCAGAACAATGAGCAATCATTTCTGTTCAGGCCAGGGAAAGCCTACGGCGACGTACATCCCAGCTACCTTGATAGTCTGCATCTGCTCCCTCATCTTAGTCTCCAATTTTCTGAAGCCTGGGGCCTGGGGGGCTTTTGCATGGAGCTTGTCTCATGACCGTGAACTCATGGATCATGCAGTGCCCCGTCAAACCGAAAGCACAGTAACAGTGCAGCACTACCCCCACATGCTGGATGTGCTCCCAGGCAGCAAAGGATTTGATACCCTTCGACGAGGAGATTGACAAATGCCCTTCAGAAAGGAAACCGTTCTTGTGAGTTCAAGTCTACTTAGACTTCACACTGGACAAACCTGTGGGCCCAAGTACCTGAGCCTTCAAAAACGAGCCTGGCTTGGCTGAAGCACTTCGCGAATCCTGGCAAGCTGCTGACCATGAGTGAACACAACTCTTAGGACTGCTAGACAAGGGCTCTGCCGTTGGCCCTCTGCAACCCGGTGGCACATCATGGAAAAAACAAGCCTCTGCTCAAGCCATCTCGACTTGCAACTACGGCAATTGCGACGAGCACACACACGGACAAACTCGGACTCACACAAACACACCGAGCCAAATCTCCTTAAGTCTGGGCGCGCTCTGAATGTCCAAGGCTCTTACAGCACAATAGCGCTAAAAAGCGCCAAGTCCGAGTGACTAGTTGGCTAACTGTGCTTGTGCCTCTCCGCAAGCTCTGATGCAGCTTCCCGAAGCTCTTTTTCTCGCTCCGGGCTGCCTCCAAACGGATGCCAAGTGGCTTCAAGTTGTTCCATTTACATGTTTGAATTTTTGTTTGGCCTTCACGGATTCGCTGTCAAGAATTGCTGCCAGATGCGCTCGCAAGCCAGGTTTTCTGCAGAAAGCACTATAACATGACCTGAGTACCAGTGCTGCTCTTGCTGCTGTGTGTTTCTGTTGTTGGGGCAGGGGGCCTGTTTTTTGTTGCTGTTGGGGCGGGGGCGCACCCCTCCCCACTCTCCCTCATCTTCTCCCACCGTTGCCACCCCTCACCCGCCTTCCCCACTTCCCCCTCCCCCCATTATCAAAAAGACTAGGAGTACTCGCTTTGTTATGCTTACCGCAATAATTTCTACAACTACTATTCTTCAGATTACTGCGAGTCATCTGGATATTCTGATCATTACTGGCACCATCTGGCACCATCATTATTGTTATGACTATCAAACTCATAATTCTCCCCCCTGTTGTTTTCAGTATTTCGATTATTATTCTTGCAAAAAGTATGAGCAGTACTATTATCAGTATTACATAGTATTGCCATGTTTACTATTTGCATTCTTCTTCTTGTTATTATCATTGTATTATCAGTACGCTGGCAGCAATATTGTTCTCCGCATTTCTCTGCCGAGGCACCCTGCTTGGGGCGAGGAAAGACTCCACCCACCCAGGTGGAACTCCGTGAAAGGCCTGGGGGTCCGGCTTCAGGTTTCACCTCCTCCTATGTCCACTTCTTCGCCACCTCTGCTGTCTTGCTATTTCCACTCATTGTTCGCCACTTGCTTTTTCTTGGCCTCCTTGCAGCCCGCTTTGTTACGTGCAGAAGCTTTGACGCAGCTTTCCCAAAAATTCCACCTGTGTTGTGTTTGGGCAGCTTCTGTCGCCCGGGTGTATTGTGCCATGGGGCGCCCCCAAAGGTCTTTGATGTTGTATCGGTTTTGATCAATTCCCAGGAAGGTCGGGCACCAGGTTCTCGTCACTCAGGGACCCCCAGCCTCCAATTTCTACCGTGGTGTATTGGTACATTTTTTAGGGTTATGTAGGTGGACTGCCAGTCTGGCCTGGTCCCTAATCCGTGCACTAGTTTAATAAAAGGGGCCATATTTACAGAATTTTTTGTGGCAGAATTAGCCTCCACAGACTAGCTACATTCAGGTGGCTTCTTGTATGGGGAAAAGGGACTAGATTTAAAGAAACTTTCTGGGGAACCCATCCTACTAGTAGATTTCAGCAAACATTCTAAATCACATTTGCTGCAAAAAGACTGGCAGCTGCTGTTCAGTCTTCAGTTTCTTCTGCTGCACTGCACTTGCTCTGCGAAACTAATCTGCATGACGATCTGTTGATGCCTTAAGCTCCTGCTCCGTTTGTCTTTGCTTATTCCTCTCAGAATCTCTAAAAACCAAGGATGTTCAAGAAGATCAGGCCCTTCAGAAAGCTATAGTTTCTTATATACTATACCCCCTTACTGAAAACGCTTTTTTTTCATTCCTTCCTAGGCTACCCCTTACCATGGCTGCCCCACAGTTCCTGCTCCATTAGTCTTTGCTTATGCTTACCGGCTTACCGCTTTCAGAATCTCTAGGCCAAGGATTCAAGGATGTTCTCCGGATCCCCCATAGGCCCGCCTCCGTTCCTACCCACATTTTGGTCTTGTGTCATCTTCTTTGCTTCTTCTTTGCTGGCCGCCTCTGTTGCCTGGGCTTCCTCCCGCTTCTCCCCTCCCCCCCCCAACCCTTCTCCTTCCATAGCTTCTCATTCTTCGCCACCTCCACTATCTTGCCTCCCTTGCAGCCCCACTCCTCGGTCTCTTGCCCATGCCGAAGAACTAGTCAGGGCGGGCCATAAATCTCGAGCTGACTTTTTGGTCACCGGCTCAGGCTGGCTCTGCACGCACGTCCATGAGCCCACTGATAGCGTAAATAGTAGTTTGACCCCGTAACTTGCCATTATTAGTACTCATGGACATGTGGAACAACAAACAAGTCCAAACAACTAAGCAAAATCAGGTTCCAACGTGAATTGTTGTCATGAGCTGCCTGGCCATGTCTGGCAGTAGCAGATTCTGAGCTGCTCTGCACGTTGGCAGGCTCTGAACAAGCATGAACACTGTTGAGGAAGCAGGTCAAACAACAAGTAACTTACTCAGCCTGACCCTGGTTTGTCTGAACACGCCTGTCTGGTGATACCACATACCCAGGCCGTTCGTGACGAGGTATGCCGGCGCGGTGCCCCTGTGTCAAGCTCAACTCTAACGGGAATTTTAGTATAGCTCCAAAGCATCCATGAACATCAAGCAGCCACCACATCAACAAAACGCGTAGGGTGCTGTGCAGTGTGCAAGAATACCTTAGGCAGAAACTTCTGACTGAGAGCAAGCAGGAGGACATATCTGCTTTCACCCCTTAGGAAGAGATTCGACAGGACCTGACGACTTTCGAAGACAGGAGAAAATCCAATCATTCTATCTTATTTTTCTTCTGCAGAAGAGATAGCTGTCCCTGGCGGAGCGGCACAGCTCCGCATGCTTGTCTTCAAATTGGGGTTGTATGGAGTAGAGGCAAAGGAAAGAGATCTTTTGTTTTAAATCTGCACCCCGTCTACAACTTCTCCTGCACTACTGTCCCTGGACCACACACCTCCCAACTACCCTATCCCTGGTCATAGACTGCAAGCTGCCAATCGAATGGGACCTTACGGATGAGAGAAGACTTTGCTCTTAGGTGCAAGTCTCCAACAGGAGACAGATGTACCGTGCCCGTCGAGGCCTGGTCACCACCTCCTCTGAGGCAGCGCTTGCCCTGGCACAGCTGATGACACCCTCAAAAGAATTCACCTGACAGAGTTTACCTCAAGCGCATTCTCCAGCGATTCTGCGGAAGTGCACATGATGGTCCCCAGCCTGGGGAGGTCCACCCCCTCGGGTGAATCTGCCGGCAAGGGGAAAACCTCAAAGGAGCAAACCGTTTGAGCGTTTTAAGCCCTTACGTCCTTACGTTTCGATGAGTCAAGACCTCGGCCGGTTCCTGCGCATTCCCGCACGCGTCTCACCATTTAGCAAGCTCACATGTTCTATTTTGCGTCCTGACATCATTCGTGCTTACAGGAAGATTTGCTTTAGAGTGTCCTGACTTAGCATCCTCTAGTTGCCCCAAGTGGACGTCTCACGAGGGATCCATGATGATCATAGTTTCAGAAAGCCCCCTGCGACCGGGCTCCTCGCCCGCGGATACAGGGCCACCATGACGCTATGGATCGGCATCCTTCTGAAAGCCAACATTTTGCATTGATGCAGACTACCCATTTAAGGAGTGGCTCTAAAGTACGAAGCATTGAAGTATGAGGGCCAATGCAGAAGGACGTCTGATACTTAGGATGTAAGCTAGGCGCGCATTGTTCTATGCATGGCAGTTACAGGTAGAAGCTCACGTCGCTCGCATTGATTTGCATTGCAATTTAGCCTGGACATGCAACTGGCAGCCTACTAAACCCTCAACAAGTCCAGCGCCGAGGCTACATCGTATTCAGATATCGGCAATGCTCCCGAATCGGGTGAAGCATTCCGCAAATTCAACAGAGTCAGAAACCCGCGGCAAGATGCCACCGTAAGTTCAGGCTGTATCAGAAACAAACCGGGCTTCATACAGAAGGCGTTTTTCATCTTCTAGTGGGTATAGGGCCGGTGTTTTAGGCGTGATCGTTGTGTTCCACTTCTTGTGGGAGGGGGGGGGGGGTTGACTAAAACGTCTTCAGGATGTTTTGCAACCTTGGTGGGTATAAGTGCTCATCACAAAACCCACGAGCCGTTGGCAGAAGATTGACCCGGCATGCAGCAGCACATCGTCACTGCAGGATTTCATGCTCACATCAAATCCCAAATCCCCACACCCTCGTGACAGGCGATGCCTTGCCCTGAACCTGCGAACGCATATTTCCTGAACAGCATCGTCCAAGCATGTCCAAGCAATCCCGTTTCAACTGCGCGTCCTGAGGATCCTGTGCAACGACTCTTCCACCTGAGCCTGTTCCAGGGATTTGAGGATTGGGCCTAAAGCATGTTCTTGGTTTTTTCCATAGGATGGGGTTGCAGGCGCATAAACCAGACGATGTTGACGAAGTGTCATCGGGCCGCTTGGTTTTGGGTGACACGGCTCCGAGTGACTCCTGACGAAACGCACATTCTGTCCTTGGGGACAGCAAAGGAGGCTGTGTGAGGCCTCAACAGGAAGCCAACTGCCTTTCGGCGCAGCCAGCGCATCATTTCCTAAATCCGGGTGTTCCCAGAGCCTACGCTGACCAGAGCATCCATGCCCAAACCATAATCTCGTTCGTGTTCCCAGAGCATACGATGACCAGAGAATCCATGCCCAAACCATCCCAGAGCCTACGATGACCAGAGCATCCATGCCCAAACCATAATCTCGTTCGTGTTCCCAGAGCATACGCTGACCAGAGAATCCATGCCCAAACCATAATCTCGTTCGTGTTCCCAGAGCATACGCTGACCAGAGCATCCATGCCCAAACCATAATCTCGTTCGTGTTCTCAGAGCATACGCTGACCAGAG